CTACCGAAGAAGATTCTGATCTATTATGGACTATCACACCGCCATCTGATGTGCTAGTAAGACGAACTCCTAAGAGAGCAAGACGATGAACATCTTTTTCTACTTCATTCCCTTTTTCCTCAATATGTGCTACACCACCCTCTAGATTCACCTCTTTCTGGCCTTAAGGTAAGAGATAATCAATATATAGGCACTAAGATACTACCCTTCTATTCTAAGACTGGCTCGTTTGGAAATTGGAACTAAACAACCCAAATTCTACAATCGACTGAGGCATGACAGAATTGAAACCAATCCATGCCTAGAATTATATCGAAGTCTACCATTTCTAACTCTACAAGATCTGCTGAGGTGACTTTCTGAGACACTGTGATAGGGCAATTTCTGTATACCCGTCTAGCTATAACTAGGTCACCAACTAGGGTAGAGACTAAGAAGGGTTCTGAAGGAGTTTCTAGACTTACTCCTAAGATTACTGCTATAAAGAGAGTTACAAAGGTAAGGGTAGCCCTTGGATCTAACACTACAAAATATCTAAAGAAAAACTCGAAACATACCAGTGATCACATCAAGATAATCTTCCTGGTCCTGGGGAGCCTGAAGAGCATAGAGCCTGTTTTGGCACTGTCCGCCACCTGTACCAGAAGAGTTACCCTGCTGATTTGGGTGACCTTTCGGTACTGTTGGAGCTGTAGACTGAGCCCTAGTATTGTTACCTTCTTGCCCGTTCCTGGCAGAAGGGCAATTCTTCACCCTATGACCAGACTGGCCACACCCAAAACATCCTTCCCTGCCTGCAAGACACTCGCCTGGATGGTTCTTACCTCACTTTGGACAAGTTGGGTAGGTCCTATTTCCTGAAACACTTCCCTGAGACTTAGAGCCTGGTGCCCTACTATTCTGATCTTGTCGAAACTGTGAGTGATTTCCACCACCCGATTTCTGTTGAGAGTACTCATAGTTCCCTGTTCTAGCTTTCTTGGTTACCTTAGCAATTTCCCTAAGCTTATCTCCTTCAACCTGCTGATTGTTCTGATTATTCATACTTTGAGCAAGAAGTGGAACAGTGTTTTGAAACTCTGCATTCGAAACTCCCTGATCTGGGACTAGAGGAACTGCATTAGCATTGCGTGCATTAGTATTCCTTGCCTAAGCTCTATGAAGAGGCATGATCTTAAGCGCATAACGATGGATTAGAAAGGAGATCATACCAACGCACGATAAGAATATCAAGAAAGTGAAGTTTTCCTAAAACACTTCATAGCCTCTTTCTCATTAGATGTGGTGCACTTCACACCCATGAAAAAGACTCTACTTAGTGCGGCTTTTCAGACATCCTAGGACACTTAAACCTAATGCTTTGATAGCAAGTTTGTCACGCCCCGAGCTACCCCCAAGACGCGGACACGGGACCTAGGACCACAAGTGATCCCAAGCTAACCCTGCTGGCATGATCATGAGCATACTAAAGAAAATAAACTGATGCGGAAGCTGATTCATAAATAAATCTGAAAAGATACGGAATACCCATATACTATAACTGAATATATCAAATCTGAGAGTTTAATACAAAAGAAATATCAAACTTAAAACACTAAGCTGAATCTAACTATGTCTGAAATAAGCCTCTAAACTGACTAGAAATGTTGGGACATGCCCCAACTAGGTCTAGCAAAACTGAAACTAAAGACTAAGAATACTGAAAAGAAACTCATGACTATTGTCCTCGGAGAATGAGGACTCACCACTGATTCTGCTGAACTAGAGATCGGGAACCGATCTAAGCGTGATCTGGATGCTGAGAACCTGAACCTACATCACGAGAAGATGTAGCGCACGTATGCGTCAGTACTTGAAAGGTACTGAGCATGCAGGATGGAGTAAAGCTGAAATAACATATAACTGAACAAAGCATACTGAGCAATGATATAATCTGGACATGATATAGATACTGAAATACTGAATACTGAGCTAACTGAATGCAATGACCAAATTTATAACATGCTGAGACTGAATACTGACTGTACTGAAATATGGTCAATGCAATAGAGTCTGACTGAACTGTGGGAGCTACTAATAACCGACATAAAACCACATGAGCTAAATGTGGAGTCCGATGTATACGCCCCATCGAGAGGACCCAATATACCCTGCCAGAGGTATAGAGGCATGCTGGCGTGATCACTAAACTGATGTTGCCCACAGAGGGGACTTACACCTACGTGGCTCGTAGTTCTGGGACTATATGGGTACGCTGAAACCCTAGTCCAACTCGGTATTATGCTACTCCCAATGAATTAAATGGTTAACTAGTTATGACTGAATTTCTGTAAATACTGGATAGCTCGAAACTGAACATGCAAACTGAGAATGCAACAATTAATCTGATAATGATGCATTCATAAACTGAGGCATGTATAACTGAATATATTATGACTGAAATACTGAATAGCTTAAAATACTGACATGTAGATACTCATACTTGAAAACTCCTTTTTAGAAAACAATACTCTGATCATTGATGACTTGGGAAGTCATACTGCATAAACATTGATGGTATATCTAGATACCATACTATTCATACATTGATGACCTACTCAATTGTCATACTAATCATGTTTTAGAAGCTCTTTCTCAAACTCATCTTAACTTTCTCAAAAATTCAGTTTAAAACTCAAGTATTGTCTTAAAGAAAAGCTTCTCAAGATTTATAGCTCAAAATAGGGTGTATACTGAAATATACTGATAATGTGGCATAAAACTGGAGCATGTATATCTGAATAACTGAAATATCTGACCTAGCATGTGTAATTCAAGAACTAATGAAATACATAGCTAGGGTTCTGAAATTTATGCGATAAACTGAGCATTAACATGATAATCTGATTTGGAACATTTAAATAACTAATTCATGATGATCTGTTGAGATTCTAGAAACCCTAGGTCTGTTCATAATCATGGAATCAAGAATCTGGCTGAATTCTAGGGACCTAATGGGCGAAAGGAACCCACTAGTGAAATCCCACATACCTGGTGACGAATTCCACGGAGAAATCTTTTGATTTCGAGGCTGGAACTGAAGGAACCTTGCTGCGTTCTTGAACTAGGGTTCTTGACTTATTTTCTCCTTTTAGCGTTCTAATTCTTCTAAGTTTGATTAATGATTTGACTTAGGTAAGTTCTAGTTATGTTTCTAGGTTTAAACTGATTAAAATCTCCTGATTTAGGGTCTAAACGACGTATCTTAAGGGTTAAACGAAATAGGAAAAGACCAAAAGACCCTTGAATTAGCTGCTGTCAGAGTGACTGACGGACCTGATTGACGGTCCGTCAATCAATCGACGGTCCGTCGATTGGGTCCGTAGATCGAGTATGCCCGACAGGGCTTCACTAAAACGGGCATAACTTTTCACTCGGAGCTCGGAATTTAGCAAGCTCGGTGGCGTTGGAAAGATAATTCAATTATCTATCTAAAAATAGATCATGGGACACATAATTCATTTTGTGCTAAAAGTTATGACCATCTGAAGTTGACCCATCAGAATTTTCAGCTAACTGGCTGCTAACCTTCGATCTACCATCAGACCTACGGACCGTGGATCGAACGACGGTCCGTGCTGGTCAACCGTAGTTCGTGTCAGAGGCTGGGTAAAGGAGGTCTCGATCCACGGACACAGACCACGGACCGTGGGTCTGTCCGTGAGTCGGGACTTAGCCAATTTTCTGAGCTGGTTTGGGGAGGGGTTGCAGTGGTGAACCACGGACCACCAGCACGGGCCGTGGTCTGACCTACGATCCGTGGAAGGTGACCGTAAGTTGCACCTGCAACTTCTCAAAATCTGCATTTTTGTCTGTTTCGAATACGGGGTGTTACATATTAGGTGAGTTTAATTGGATAATTTTAATACTAAAAGAAGGAGCATCATCTATATGTATCAAGACTTTGAAGATGAAAAAAAAATGATGAACTGTAAGTTTGAGAAGAAGAAAAACTACATATTGAAGAATTTGAAATCGATTGACTAGAGTGTGAAAAAAATTGAAATTCAAAATTGTAATGAAGGAAGTAACTGTTGAGATTGAGGGAGTGAATATATGAAAAGATTGAAGGAGTTGAAAATTGGAAGAGAGAAATGACCTTTGTGAATTGAGAAGCTGTGTTTCCGGAAGAGTGGGGTTTTGGAGGAAAAAGAAGGATTTCGTAATATTTTGAAATGGTAGGGAATAATAAAATATATGGTGAATAATATGTATTATAAGTGAATTATGTATGCAATATATATGTATTATAACTATTTTAAAATATATTATGCTTATGTGGTAAATTTTTCTTTATTTTTTGTCTCACGCTCTTTAAAAGAGTGCATCTCATTCTCTATGTCAGGTAGCAATAATATCGCTTCAAAATAGTATAGGGGGTTAATGAGACCCCACTATAGTTAAAAGGTCATAATGAGCAAAAGCAAAATACTTTTAGGGTAATCTTATGTATATATTGTTGACGTGTCTAACTATCTTATGAAAGAGAACAAATTATATTTACTTAATTATGTTTTCAACACGCCTCGTCATGTGCAAGCATGAACCATGCACATGCTTTTTGATAATGGGTTGTAGTGAGGCTTGAGTTCACCGCCTCTATATGCGCTAATACCATGTTGAATTGTGTAACCATCTCATGTAAAAGTTTAAGATGTTAGATAAATAACACTTTATTTACTTATTTACGTATAATATATGATGCAAACGGTTCTTTTGAATAGAGTATTAAAATAACTAGAATAAGTGAAAAATATGAAGTATCGCGAAAGTCAAATTAAAAAATCATTTTAAATTTGTGATTCAGATGCAAAGATGGAGTTTAAGCTTCTAGTTCGAGTGTAGTGTCTATACTAAATTGGTAGGTTTTTATTTCCTATTTGACAAAGTTTCCTTAACAATTAATATTTTGTATTGACAACAACTTTATTATTTATTGTGACTGTTTCAACGTTGAGCTCATGCATGATAAGTTACAAGCTTTAGTGGCAATTATTGCCTTGGTGCCTGTACTGAAGTTTTGCCTAAGCGAGACAAAGGGTCCAGTTGCATGCACTGCACTTAACTTCAAGGTTTGGAGTGGAGTTCCAATATTCTTCAGGCAAGTCAAATTAGGAACCTAATTGAAGAATAATATTTTTTATAACCAACCCAGTGGTTTGGGCTTGGGACTTCCATGTTGGAGGTCTCAAGTTCAAAACCCCTTGCCAGCGAAAGCAAGGGGTTTGCCTTCTGGGTCGAGCTCATCGCACCGGGCTTTTCTAGTGCGGGTTACCTCTCCTATGTGGTTTGCGAGCTATTGCATAGGAGCGGGGTTTTTACCCTGTGCGCACCCAAAGGGTAGCAGCTGCGGGTTTCCCTTGTCATAAAAAAATAAAAAAAATAACCAAGCATGATTAATGACTCCATGATACTGATCCTTTTTAGGAGAATTGATTTAATCATAATTTGACCAAATTCTACTACGAAAATGATGATTTGGATGTTTGTCTAGCTTCTTAGAACGTTTCTCTCCCATTTTTTTCTTTCTGCCATTCTTGTTAATTTTCTTAGTCGTTGTTCCTCCATTGGGTGAACATTGGTTAAGAAAAGGTTTTACACCCCCATCAATTTTTAGACCTGGACCAATGTTTTTGCAATCAGATTTACATCTTAATATGTTTATCTACTTCAAATTAGCAAAGTGATCATTGAATAAATTGGATGTAATTATGTGGTTGTGTTGTTTAAAGAGTAAACAAATTTGTAGCTTTCTCATATGGGATTCAAGATGTTGTTTCCTTGGATGTTTCTCTTACTAGTTCAACAGATGGAAGCTAATTCTAGTAATCTCAAATGATCTTCTCAAGTATGGAGAACTTATCTTGGTAGACCTAGTTATTAGTGGTGATAACTAAATAAAAAGAGAAAAATTGACAATCCTACGAAAAAATGGCATACTATGACCAACACAGTTAAAATAAAGCATTTGAATAGTTCATTATATTAAGTTGACAAAAAGTTTTTTATAAAATAATATTTGAATAAGTTTTTAGATTAATAGTTTTAAGTACGAAAAGGTGGAGAGAACTTTTGAAGGTGCAGAGTTGATGACTTTTATTAAGGTGAGGAGAAGCCTCCTATCCATTATTTTCTCTTGGTGCAACCATGAAGTCTCATGTTGTGTAGAAGATTAGGTGATTTTCGTTGAAAACCATATATTTTATAGGGTTTTCCTTTAGGTATACTTCTTGTATTCAAATGTCTTTTGACCCAAACATTAATGAAATTATTTACCTTGTGAAAAGAAAGTGTAAAAATAGAAAATTTAGTAAGGCATTACATCACATATGAGATATGAACGTAAGTTAACTTATTAACTTGAATGCTTGGATAGAGAATTTTCCATTCTAGGAAAGCCCTTTTTTGATTGATACAAAAGAAAATAGATAAATATTATTAAAGAAAAGAGAGTGCAAGAATCAACATATTATTGATGAGTTGCAAGTCTTACTTGGTTCACAAATTATTTTCCTAGCATTTCTTACTTGGTTTTTAGATCCTAGCATTTCTTACTTGGTTCACAAATTATTTTCCTATTTAAGTCTTGCAAGTCTCAGCAACAGTTTCCTTGAGTGAAACTGGAAAAGATTGAAGAGTTTAGATCTAAAGCTTATCTTTCCTGTATGATGTATTCTTCATTCCAAATGTGTTAGATCATTTATGTGTCACTTGGAGTTATGATGACATGTAACAATGTGGATATGATTTTGTGTGACTCTGTAGACTTCTGAAATCATGAGAAGACAATACCCAAAGAACTGATACAACAATATACCTAGAGAACTAATGATAAAAAAAAAAAATTCTTTTTTTGATATGACATCAAAACTGGTGGTAAGATTACTACAATAATTTGATCCTAAGAATGTATCACTGGGTAATGTTGTTGTTGGATCTTGAGAATATCAGTTGATAGCTGTACTAGTATAAAAAGACTAGTAAGTGAAGATATTAGTGTCTTCTGTTGAGTACATATATGATTTTCATCATTTTTAGTAGACTCTAGTGCTATAAATGGTATATAATTATTTAAACAAGTGATATTGAGTCAACACATGTCTAGACTAGACTACTTTTATTATTGCGCTCCATAACTAACTAGTTTAAAGCTGTAGTTCCTCAATAACTGATCTTTCTCAATAAAATCTGGTTTGTCCTCTCAACAAACGTGGGCTTATTGATAAATGTAAATCATTTCTACACTCTTTTGGGTTATATTGACTCCTTGCAGCTGGAAAGAGCTATAGTCATACATATTCTACTGTTCTAGCACCATCTTAGTGCTGATGCTTTTATTAATAAAATTTACGTATCGAAAAATTGGGCTTATTTAATATCATTCTAGTTTGGAATGACAATTTTATGGTTTCTGCATTCAATTGTGCCTTTTCTTATCGAGTTACTTCACCTGCCCTTCCATCGAAACATGGATGCACACACCGAAGGAATGGTGTATGTAATCATGTATGATATTTGATTGAATATTTGCTAAAATAATATTGTATAGTAATGTTTATGACTATATAATAAATGCAGACTCTTTGCTTATATACGTGATTTTGCATTGCAATATGCCATTCTATTAACATTAAGTAATGATGACTATATAATAATGTTTATGACTGTATAATAAATGTAGAGCCTTTGCTTATATACGTGATTTTGCATTACAATATGCCATTCTATTTACATCAAGTAATGATGAATTCTTAACTTTTTTTTGAAGGTCCAACTGCCCGAAGGAGTAACACCATTTATGCATATTACTCAAAATGAATTTATATGGCGAAAGTGAGTTCAAATCCTTTCTTTGTTTCTTTTAATGATGATTTTCCTGCCAGTTAATTGCATTCTTTCTTTTGATAATCCTTACACTTTGAAGTTCATTTTCATACACTTGTTGCTTATAATTCTGAATTATTGTTACGCTGTCTGCAATTGTGAGTACCACTTGGATGACATATTGATTTTGGTCGAAACAGTTAACTTGCGTATCTAAGATCTGGATACTATAACTTTGCAAAAGAGATTGGTTATTGCATTATGTTAACATTACCATTTTTTAAAAAAAGATTGGTTATTGCCATTGTTTTCACTTCTAAGATAAAGCTTTCAAAATCCACTAATAAAAAAAGAGATTAAACTTCGATAAACATTGTATCTTTTTTCATGTTGTGCCAAGGATGCCATGGGAGTATGAATTCAATGACAAGAAAATGAGGAAACAGGAAATTTGAATTGCGGGTTGTGATTATCTGGTCAAGCTTAAAAGGAAGAACTTTTTGTGAATTGAAACTAATGTTGAATAATGCTTATGTTTCATTTTTTTTCTTTGTTCTATAAGATGAGATACAAAAAATTAGTTTCTTTTTGTGAAAGAGAAATAAGTTCTTGTTTCATTCCTTAGAAAGTTTTTGTGTCCTATTTCTTATTAAGTAGTTTATAGCATTTTGACTTCCAAAACTAAAGCTTCTAAATGATGCATACCTTGATTAGTTGACTTTGAGTTGGAGTTGAATGGTTTTCAATTATCATTGATCTTGGCTTTAGGTAGTCATATTTAATTGTAATTTTCTTATGTCTTACAGGCATAAGAAACCGAGAGAAGAGGATATTGCTATAAGTGAATGCAAGTATGATGCAAGTGATCCTAATAGTGCATGTGTAGGAAGATGTTTGAATTTATTAACAAACATTGAATGTACACCGGGATACTATCCGTGTGGTGACACTTGCAGAAATCAGGTAAATTAGATAATTCTCTTCATTAGTTGAACGTTACTCTGTTGTTTCTCTTTATTACTATACTTTTACAGTGGTCTTATTGATTTCTAAATTTACAATAGATTTTATGGGTAGTGCACCAAATTTGTGTAACAATCATGTGTTGAGAAAGAGTGGAAGTAGTGGTATTTTAGAACTATTATGATAAGCTCAAAAAAGTCTTGTCATGCTATTACCTCTCCTAATTATTATTTTTTTAATAAAAAATTCCAACTTTGATCATTAATATGGGCAAAAGTACAACTTTGAGTTTGACATCCCAAACTTTGACATGATAAGGGGTAATAACAGTGTAGGACGATGGGTCCCATTCTCTTTTAATACATCTAGTTAACAACATGGAGTCTGTTTCAACCCAGATATTAGAGAAGCCTCTATTAGCATACCATTTAAGACCATAAAGAAGAGCTGCCATTTCTGCGATGTTACTCGTGCCAGGTTCCAATTGATGCACTAAGCAAACACGAGGTTTCCCAATGAGTTTCTGATCAGACCACCTCCACCACAACGGCCTTGAATGCAACTACCATCACTGTTGAGTTTTACATACATATTAGGAGGTTTTATCCACTTACCTATGGTAGTGGTTCTGTGGTGAATTTTGGCATCCAAAATGTAGTGTATATTTCTCCATGACTCTACAATGTTAGCTTTGCCAAATTTCTTCTTAGTAATATGCACAATGGTAAAAAGAATATTAGCTTTAGATCTGTCTACATAAGGCTTAATAGCATCAAATTCCTTAGAGCATCTTTCTCTCCATATCTCCCAACAAATTATTGGGTGTGGGGGGGGGGGGGGGGGGGAGAGCATGAATAACAAAATTAGCAATGGAGTTCTTTGTAACAGTATTCCACTAATTGAGGATGCGGATTTTAAGAGTCCTATGGGTGAGTCTCACTCCCAGTGGACCTGCGATCTCACACCACACTTTTCTAGCATGTTCACCCTAACATAATAGGTGATTCACTGTTTCCAAGTTGTTGTTCTCATTAGTTGCAGCACAACAATGACATCCCGGGATAATATTGATGCCCTACTTAGCCACTTTCTCATCAGTAGGAAAGCCATATTAAATGTAATGCTATTATTCGAGATCTTGTTGTAGTTTCTTTTCTTTCTAATAATATCCCAACCAGAGTGGAGAGTGAAGTGGCCAGAATTGGTGTTTTCCCAAATAGCTTTTGTCATTTGTGAGACCGTTGAGAATAATCCCCAAGTTGATGATATTTTTCTTTAGATCATTCGGGAGCTCTACTTGGACAATTACTAGTAAGAACAATAATTAGCTTGATAGAGATATGCCCTTCATTGTTGGGGTAGAGCAAGTGCAAGGGTCCTAGATCTTACCATTTATCAAACCAAATATCAACATCTCCTCTTCCAACCTTCCAGTAAATATGTTGCTCCACCACTGACTTAACTTCACAGATGACTTTACAATTTTGAGAGTTGCTAGAGGACCATTGAGTCTTTATAGGGTGTTGATTCTCGAGGTACTTAGCCTTCATGTAATTTCCCCAAAGAGAAGAAGAGGTTCTTAGGTTCCACCATAGCTTAGCCTTGAAGTCCATACAAACATCTGAAGTTTTCCTAAAATTATCACCACCTTATTCAAAGGGGTAGATCAAATTATCCCATGCAATCCAGTGATACTTTCCCCCAGAATCATTTCCAGACCAAAAGATTTTTTTCAATGAGCTCAAGGGTACCTTTAGGAGGGTTGGTAGCACTCAGAAGATGAGTAGGGAGAGCTAGTATAATATGCCTTATTAAGGTAGCTCTTCCTCCAAAAGATTGCAATTTGTTGTGCCAACCTCTAATTTTATTAGTAACCTTATTGACAATGTCTGAGTAAGCCAATTTTTTCTTTCCTATGATAAGAGGACACCCAAGTTACTTTATGGGAAATTCTTGATATCTCATGCTAGCGTATCTTTTCAGTCTATTGATGATGACAAGACTAGATTTGGATTTCAGGAAGAAGCTACTCTTGTTCTTGTTGATCTGTTGACCTGATATTTGTTCATACCTGTCTACAATGTCAATGATTAGTTTGATAGATCTCTTGCTACCATCGCAAAAAATAATGGTGTAATCAGCAGAAGTTAAATGATTAATTTTAGGACTATTATTGCACATATAAAAACTCTTGTAAGCAGTGTGATTATGCAGATTGTTAAGCATTTGAGACAACAATTCAACGCTCAGAATGAAGAGGAAGGGGGAAAGAGGATCTCCTTACCTCAAACCCTTAGAAGAGTTAAAGAAACCATGATGACCTCCATTTACTACTATAGAATACCAGTTGTTGGAGATATAATTATGGATAAGGTAAAACCAATGCTCAGAGAAACCAAGATGCCTAAGAACATGGCAGAGGTAAGTCTAGGAGACTTTGTCATAAGCATTAGTCATATCTAGTTTCATCACTACATTGCCCCCTCTGTTAGGTTTGCCAATATCACTAATAATTTCTTGGGCAAGAAGAATGTTTCCAGTAATGGCTCTGCCTTTGAGAAAGCTACTTTGATTCCTGCTCCCAAGGCCTAGCTCGAGTGGCAAAAGGTGGAGGATTTGTGACTTAGGTCGCAGGTTCAAGCCCCACACCATGCAAAGAGAAGCCCGGTATTTGAGTGGAGAAGGGTAGAGGGGAGGGCCCATTATTCACCGAATTTAAAAGACTGTGATTGGTTCAAAGTGTGACGGGTCATAGACGAATTTCTCGTTTATCAAAAAAGCTACTTTGATTCCTGGAGATAATTCGAGGAAGGATAGAGGTCAATTTGTTAGTCAATATTTTAGAAGTAATTTTACTAAAAACGTTACACAGACTGATAGATCTCAAATCAAAAAAAGATTGGGGGTGATCAATCTTAGGAATAAGAACAAGACAAGTATGAGTATACAATTTTTTGGAAGGATATCACCTGCGAAAAAAGCAGTCACAACTTTATGGAGATCTGATGCAATGATGCTCTAAGTATTTTGATAAAAGTACCCACTTAGGCCATCCAGTCTAGGAGCACTATCGAGATCTAGAGAGAATACACAATCCTGAAGTTCTTTGAGTGTTGGAAGGGTGCAAAACATGTCATTGTCCTCTTTTGTGATGCACCTATGAAGAATATTAAGGGAGCTATAATCAGGGTTAGTATTGTCATAAGTAAAGAGATTCTTGTAAAATCTAATAGCCCCTTCAGCAATTTTGTCATTTCCTTTTAGGCAGTTGTTGTGTTCATCCATAATTTTCCTAATGTTCGACCTTTTTCTCCTGTCTCTTATGATGTTGAGAAAATACGCCGTGTTGGAATCTCCTTCAAGCCATTTGACCCTAGATTTTTGTTTGAGGATAGAATCTTGAAGTTTGAGAAATCTAGTGAATTCGGCCTTGAGCTTAGAGAGATCTCTCTTGTTATCTCCGGTGTTTTTGGTTACATTGTTGTCTTCAAGAGCTTGAATTTGGCTTTCAAGTCTCTTAGGTTCTTCGTAGAGGTCCCCAAAAGCTTGTCTAGACCAAGAACTCATAGCTTTGTATGTCTTGTTGATTTTCTGGTGAAGGATATACAGGGGGTTCCTATTGACTTCTTCATTCCAAGAGTTTTGAACTATATCCAAGAAGTCAGAGTGATCCTCCTATATATTCAAGAATTTGAAATATTTGATAGTGGGAGGAGTATCATTATTCATCTTAACCAAAAGTAGAGCATGGTCTGAGCACGTTCTGGATAAGTGAGTAAAATTAGTAGCATTATACATATCATACCATAAAGAGTTATAAACAAGTCTATCCAATCTTCCCCAAATATTGTTAGGGGGGTCTCTACTGTCGCACCAAGGAAATTTAGAACCTGAGAAACCTGCATCTTGAAGACCACACTCATTAAGGCATTCAATGAAATCAAGAGTTTCTTCCATTTTATGAAGTCTTCTTCAAAATTTCTCATCAATGGATACCACCACATTAAAGTTGTCTGTTGCTCCCCAAGGGTCTTGGATAATGTTTGCTATAACTCTCAATTCTGCCCATAGGTTTTTCCTCAGATCTGTGCATTTGGCATAGATAACTGAAAGGAAAAAATTTTGGTCAACATTATGAATAACTTTGAGAAAAACATGTTGCTCCCAATCATGAATGACCTCATCTTCAATGTCATTCAACCAAAGGATCCAGATTTTGTTAGAACTGTTGTTGTAGGCCTGATGAAAACCAAGCTTTCTTCTAAATTTATCCATTTTATCACAAGAAACCATAGGTTCTTGTAGGCAAAGGAGAGGACAATGAAATTGTTGTTTAAAGAAGAGTAATATTTCCAAGGAACCGTTGGATCCTATTCCCCTAATATTCCATGATATGAAGCTAACCATTGGAAACATTAGTTGTAGGGGTTATTTGATTTTGAATATTGGTTGTGGCAACTTTGATGGTAATGTTAGAGCATACTCCCGGATTGGAGGGGTTCCTTGGAGGTAGGTTGTGCTTGGTTGTTGTGTCTAGAGAATCCATAGGGGGTATTTAATCGATGAATATCTCTTTTCATGATCCCTGGTAGCCTCACCGTCCGATTTAGAGGAGGTGAGATCCTCTTCAAAACATTCCATGAACATATCACAGTCTCCACCTCTAATGGTGAGGGACTTGGTGAAGAAATTTAAAAGTAAATTACTCGACTTCACAAATTTTGTAATAATATCTCTTGAGATTATCTTTCTTTGACAAAGTGACAATCAATCTCAACGTGCTTAGTCCTCTCATGAAATATTGGATTTGATGCGAGATGAAGGTGCGTTAGATTATCACACACAAGTTCCATCCGATCGATTTCTTCAACTGTTAGTTCTCTCAGCAATTGTTTGATCCAAACTAGCTCACGGGTTGCTACAACCATTGCTCGATATTCTGCTTCTGTACTAGATCGAGCAACCACACTCTGTTTCTTACTCTTCCACGACACCAAATTACCTTCCACTAAAACACAATATTCAGAAGTAATACGTCTATCTAATGGCGATCTTGCCCAATTAACATCTGTATATCCAATGATATGCTTGTAACCTTGATCCTCAAAGAGTAGTCCTTTACTTGAAACTGACTTTATATATCGCAGAATTCAAACAACTACATCCCAATGACTTATGGAGGAATTCATAAACTTACTAACAACACTTATGGAAAAGAGATGTCAGCTCTAGTCTTATAAACTTTACCCTACAAGGTAGAAAGATCGTTTCTGATAGACCCTCTGCTCAAATAAATGCCTCAAATCATTGGTAAGGGTATGAACTAAAGCACATTTGGAATGAATAATTACATCATACACAAACTATAATGTTTAGATATAAACTCTTCAAACTTTTTCCGTTTTACCCTAGGGAAATGTCACCGAGACTTCCAAGTCTAGAATAGAAAAATAATCTCTAAACTAAGAAAAAATATTAAAATAAAGAAAATAAGATAAGTTCATATATATAACTCTTCAATATGTATCTAGATATATCAAATGCAAAAACGAATGTATTTTCAAAATCCAAAATAAAAAAAGTAAAATCGTACCAAAATTGGCTTTCGAAACGCCCTCGTGTAGCGCATCTGATGTTGATTTTTCTTTTTCTTTCTCGATCTTCGCTTTTTCGTTATTCATTGTTTTTCTTTTTTACCGTATGCTTAAAAGGCTAGAAGGCGCAGTGGAGTTTGTCTAGGAATAATTTTTTTCGAGAGGTGAACTTCGAAAATCAGTTTTGCCCTAAAAATTTGGGAAATCAAGTCACTTAGTCGAACTAGAAAACTATAAAGAAAGGGAGGCTAATTAAGGTTACGAAGTAAGGTCAGCTGGTTAAGGAAAACTCAGGTTATGCTAAGCGATTTCATAATCTAGGGTGTTAGTTAGGCTAAGCGAGCTTTCCTTAACCAGCTGACCTATCCAGCCAACACCTTAGATTATGAAATCGCTTAGCTAAGCGAGCTTTCCTTAACCAACTGACCTAACCAACTAACACCTTAGATAATGAAATCACTTAGCATAACGTGAACTTTCCTTAACCAGATGACCTTACTTCATAACCTTAGCCTCCCTTTCTTTATAGTTTTCTATTTCGACTAAGTGACTTGATTTCCAAATTTTTAGGGCAAAACTGATTTTCGAATTTCACCTCTCGAAAAAAGTTATTCCTAGCCAAACTCCACTGCGCCTTCTAGCCTTTTCAGCATATGGTAAAAAATAATAACAATGAATAAAGAAAATGTGAAGATCAAGAAAGCAAAAGCAAAATCAAAAGCAAATGCGCTGTACGAGGGGTTTCAAAAGCCAATTTTGGTACGATTTTACTTTTTTGATTTTGGATTTTTAAAATACACTCGTTTTTGCATTTGATATATCTAGATACATATTGAAGAGTTAGATCTATGAACTTATATTATTTTCTTTATTTAACATTTTTTCTTAGTTTAAAGATTATTTTTCTATTCTAGTCTAGGAAGTCTCGGTGACATTTCCCTAGGGTAAAATGGAAAAAGTTTGAAGAGTTTAGATCTAAACCTTATTGTTTGTGTATGATGTAATTGTTCATTCCAAATGTGCTCTAGTTCTGTAACGACCCGAACCGTCGTTATTTAGAAAAAGCAAATTTCAGAAAAATTCTGGGCCACTGTCCTACCAAAGAGGGCCAGATGCCGCTAGGGTAGTGGCGCCACAGCGGGGTAAGCTGGCGCTTGAGCGGGATAGGCGAGACAGAATGTAAATAACACGAAATCTTATTTTCTCCTTTTTCCTAAAATACCTATTTTAGACGTAAACCACCTTAGAAACCCCCAAAAAGCTGCTCTAAGCTTGGGAAGGAAGGAGAAGGAGATTTCTAGCGTAAGGAGAGCGGTATATTGCGGATTTCAGGTCGAGATCACCCTCATGAAGTCCGAAAATAAGAATCGAAGCCAAAAACTCTGTGCAACTGCTTGGCGCCTAGGAAGGCTAGGTTTATTAATTGAGTAGTTATAAATCTGTCTTCACTGCGTAATATAATGTAAATCAATGGTAGGATTTATGCGTAGGCCTTCGTGCACCGAATAAGAGATAATTAAATCCTAGGAAGAAGCCTTAGACGATGAACTAGGGGTAGGTGATGGTTGTGATTTCATGATTGTTTGATATATGTTTGCTCTTTCTTCATTATAATACATGTATGTATGTGAATCTTGCAATTATCGGTCACACTAGTAGTAAATGAGATAGGTGAATGATGAACGCCATGAATCATGACTTGATTGTATGATTTTGAGAATATACTTGTGATTGTGATTGTGGCTTGTTGATTGTGATTGTGATTGTGATTGTGATTGTGATTGTGGCTTGTTGAGTGGATCGGGTGTTGCGTTCCGACACACTAACTTGGATCGGTTGTCACGTTTTGGCATAAACATTGGATCGGGTACCACGTTTCGGTATGCTAACAGTTTGGGTTTGGGTTCCATGAGAGGACCAATGACTTGACATAATTGCATATCTATTAATTGTGAAGTTGTACGTTGTTCTTAAGTGATAATTGATGTTGTATTGCTCCTGAAGGGTTAAAAGAAGGTGATGACCTATATCTATTTGTTCTACTATGTTGATTTAATTCGTTATGTATCTCATTGTTGAACGAGCCGGGGAGAGCCAAGGGTTCAAGAGTTGTTAATATTGAGAGAAAGGTTGTCCGAGTGTTGCAAGGGATTCGTGGTTTGAGGTTAGGAAGCCCTGATAAGAGGCACCAGGTGGCAAGGATTGGGTAAGATGAAGAGAAGGCAAAGGGTATGCTGTGTAGGGTTGATGGTTCAAGGAAATGTTGGTAGTTGTAATTGTGAACTCTTCTATGGGTTAGAATGGTTAGGCCATGACTAAGAACCTAGTAAGGTGAGTTGACTGAAACGGAAGTAGTAGTAAGGGTGCTAGTGTAATTCTGAGGTATTCGAGAGAGAGTAAATGTGGAGGAGCGAGTGGTTTTTATTGCATGATCTTGCTAATTGAATTCTTATATTATGTGGTAGGAATCGGGTTGACCGATATGCCTACCAGTACGTGTGGTTTGTACTGATACTACTCTTGCTATGTCTTTTTGGGCATAGTCTAGATATGTAAGAGCCTTTGATTGACTGTGTTATCCGGTATTTGTGCAAGTGGGAGGTAGCAGGTACCCCATGGAATTAGTCTAGGTGCGCGCAAGGAGCCCAAATGCCACGGTTATAAAAAATAATACTTTTAATGGTTGTATTATAAGTATAATTAGGCATCCTTGTGACTAGGAAATCTTCCTTATTTTGTGTAGACTATACTCCTATAAAGGAGCTCCATCGTATGTTGCAAACCACCAACCAGTGAACATCTAGAGATTTATGTGATATGAGGAAGCCGAGCTCTATAAAATTTGATTCTATGGCCATGCAACAAAGTGTGTCATCGTTGCATATGTGATACCCCAGGGAGGTCATGTGCTCTCTATAACTGTAAATGGTGATTCATTTGCTTAATAAATTTGGTTGCGGCTAGAAAGTTTTCCGAGAAGGTGTGATATTTGGGTTTGATTGATATTTTGTGAGAAAATGCAACTATGATCTCTATATTTGTACAAAAGGTTTCCTATTTCATTGGGGTGTGATTAAATGCTGCTTCAGAATTAGTGGTTTATCTATCATATATGCTGAGGAACTGGAAATCTCTGTTTGATTGAACTCGCTTTGTTCCAAGCAGTTGTCGTATGACATAATTGCTCCTAGTTATTCCTTTATAAACAAAAAAATGAAATTAAAAATAATTGCTGCTTGTTATTTAGTTCTTTTTGTGTTGAGAATCTTTCTTCACTTAAATTTATCCTTTCATCTAGTGTGAGGAGGAGTTTGTGGTTCCTTATATGTGATGATTGCTTCAATAACTAATAGGAGATTCTACTCAGTGCCGTATTAGAAAAAAGACAGTGAATGTCATTTGGATTGTTTTGAAGTATTTTTCTTGCTGTCCACAGAGATTCCAGAAATGTGAATATGCAAAAACTAAGTTGTTCAGGACTGAAGGGCGTGGTTGGGGTCTTTTAGCTGATGAGAATATAAAGGTAATTCTGCTGAAGCAACCCCCTATTTAAATTATTTTTGACCATTAGTTTGTATAGCACAGTTTCAGCATATATAAAAAGAGTTTATTTTTTTTCATCACCAAAATTCCAGAACTGAGCCTATCAAATTCGAGCTTTCTGTGGAATATTTTAAAGGCCTTTGTGCAGTAACTGTATTTATGGTCTATTCTTAATTGTTCCTCTCTCTTCACATTATAGGCTGGACAGTTCATCATTGAATGTTGTGGAGAAGTGATATCATTTGAAGAAGTAAAGAAAAGATCTCAGGCATATGAATCTCATGGTAAGTTATCAACATTAGAGATGGTTGGTAATACATAAACAGATCACTACTATAATTTCATATGATTTGTGCAGACCTCAAGGACGTGTACATAATTTCTGTGGATGGTAATGATTTCATTGACTCCACCCGGAAGGGAAGTCTTGCAAGATTCATAAATCATTCATGGTAAGTGCTAGAACTCCGGTTGTCAAATTGATGAAAAGCGAAATAAGATAATTATCTTGGTCAGGTAGTGACATATTGTAATGGTTAATTGGTGTTTATTGATTGCACTGATACTGTGTCTTCCTGAATTTCACAGCAGTCCAAATTGTGAAACAAGTAAATGGATAGTGTCGGGGGAAACAAGGGTAGGTATATTTGCGAAGCAAGATATATCTGTTGGAATGGAGCTGACATATGAATATAATTTTGAGTGGTACTACGGGGGTGCAAATGTTCATTGTCTGTGTGGAGCTGCAAACTGTTCCTTATTTTTGGGTGCCAAGTGTCGACGATTTCGGGTAACTTAAGTTTCTTATGAATTGTTATATCTGAAATACCCTTTGTAGTATCATATCACATGTTCCTTCTTCCCAGATTTTTGACAACAAACAGAGTAATGATTTATGCATATAGATTGAATTTGCTAATCACATGCTACAATCCGCAAGTCACATGTTGTAGTATGGTGTATCCTTGTCAAACTCAGTGTGTTGCATTTGAAGCTAAAAAGGGAAGTCGTTCAGGATAAATCTTATTGCTCCGATAAAATGAAAAAGATAAATGCTTATTGCTTATTATGCTTGAATTTATAGCACAACAATTGATGTCTTCTTCTCTTTTTTCATTTATAACATAGTTGTAGTAGATGTCTTCTTCTCTTTTTTCATTTAAAACATAGTTGATCAATGGGACAATAGATGTAAACTGATTGTCACTGTCTTCCAGGATGAGAGCACTGTGTTCTAATCCTGAGACATTGATACACAATCTTAATGGGTTTTGAATTATGACACTGGACATAGATTTCACAGTTCATTTGAGATTGTCTGAAAAGGAACGATAATCCCAGCTAACGTAAATAGTAGAACTTAGTAATTCAAATGAAATTTATTAAAAAGAATGTGGTAGATGTGCTCATATTGGTAAACATAACAAAGAAAGGGGAGGAAAGAGCTACCTGTTGATATATGCTTTCTTCAGTACTCTAAAACATAATAGATGCTTCTAAATTCGATATGAATCTGTCAGTCTCATATGTTATTCTTTTGTTCCATTTTTTATCTTTGCTTAGGAGTACAACCATGTCTGGGAAGATGGGGATGACAGGTAATGCTCAACTTTGTTTTTTTGTAGTTTGTACAAATCTTAAGACTCTGGTTCTGTTAACTTGATTTGTTTCAGGAGCTCCATTACTTCTACATCTTGATTCTCTATGTAAAAGAGAAACATTAAAGTTGAAGCTTGTATCATTTTGGTTTACTGTTAGATGACTTGACCTTTGCTTTCTAACTAACTCATATAATTGAGGTAGTTCACTTATTTGTAGCAGTAATAAGAAAAACTTTCAGGTAGTACTTTATGAGTTTCATCGGATCAAAATTGTCCATGATATTATAGTTTGAATGCTACAGCTTTTACTCATATCCTTCTAATTCTTGGATATTTATTTCAATCGGGATTTCTTACTGCAGATATGTCGTGGATGATCTTCCAGTTTATGACTCAACAGATGATGAATCTACTCTAGTGATCTGTAGAACTAGTGGAGGAAATGAGCACACAAAGATATTGACTGACGGTAAGGGGTCTACGTTCAAGTGGGAACGAACTAATAGCGCAACTAAAAAGTCTCAACGGAAACCCAAGCTGAAGGTCAAATATCTTGTTCTTACTTTTATTCCTTGTATTCTCATGTCACGATCCAATTTAGGACCACGACCGACGCTTAGGAGCTAGTGTTCAAAGCAATGCTTATTGATAATTAATAGAAAATCGGACAGATTTCCTCCACTTTAGGGCTATCCAAAAATTTCCCCTATCTCAGAATCAACAATAGAACCAATCAATATCAACTAAACAAGTAATATCTTCATCAGTAGCCATTCGCAACACAATAATACTAAGTCCATCTCCAAATGCGAAAGTGAAGTCCAAGACTAGTCACAAGTCTATAAATGGATACGGTGGGAGCATTATCTTGAGTATTTAGAGTAGTGGTTCAAGTCCAAATATCTGCCAAAGTTTCTGAACAGGTACTTCGAAGGAGTTGAAATTGATCGGTGATTCTTTGCAAATATTTGGTTGATGTGTGTAAGGATAGTAGGTAGTCGTGTGTTATTCTCCCCTTCTCATCTTCTCTTCATTTAGTAGTACTTGCATAGTATCTTATTCTTCATTTTTACTACTACTTGTTATTTCAATTACTTTGTTTATCTTGTTGATTATGTTTCTTTGATCTTAACAGCGATTAAAAACTGCTGACCCGAGTTGGAAATATGGGAAAAGAGCAAGCGAGACCAATAAGGCCGAGTTGAGTGTAACTTTTGTAAAAAAGTTACTAATGGCGGAATCTTTCGTCACAAACAACACCTTATTGGTACTTGCAGGGACGTCTCATGGTGTGAACAATGCCCGGATGCTGTAAGGGAAGAAATGAAGAAATATGTTGATGTAAAGAAGGAACAAAAATGTCAGGTTTTACTTCAAGCGGATGTGACTAATACTAGTGATGATAAAGATGAAGATATGGAAGAAGGTGAAGCTACTGAATAGTCACTTCCTTCAACAGTCATAGAATGCAACAATTATAGCTAGTTGATGAAGCTGATGAAGATGAGAAATAGATGTTGAACCATTATAAATTTGATTTTGTTTGTCCTATGGTCTGTGGAGGATTTTGTGAAAACTACCTTTTAGCTTTTAATGTGAACTTTTGCTTATATTTATTGTCTCCATTTATTTTGCAGATTTTTTGTTGCTTCTGAATTATCAGTAGAGCTAATATACCCTTCACTTGGTGGAATTCTCATTTACACAAATTTATTTCCTTGTATTCTCATGTCACGACCCAATTTAGGATCCTGACCAGCGCTTAGGAGCTAGTGTTCCAAGCAATTCTTATTGGTATTTTAGAGAAAAAGAATACTACTCATGACACTAATAAAAAATGATTAATGTCGCTACTCTAAGAGTTCTAAATTAAAAGTATGTTAGCAAAGAGCTAAACTTGAGGATTCTCACAGTTCAAATAAAAGATAAAAGAAGATTTTCGTAGAGTTTTAATCCGAACACAAGATTTGGTGGGAAACAATGAACCAAACACTTGATATAAAATAAACCCTCCATTTAGCATTACTAACCACTGCGTTATTAATTTTTGTACCAAACTATCCCGAAGTTTTTTCTTCACTTATCCGCATAAGTCTTTTTATCTTATTTGAACTGTGAGCATCCTCTGTCTGATTGGCTAGACCTTGTCCAGAGCTTCTTGTACCCAGTCTAGTCCCAATACATTAGCCTCACTAACTTCAAACTGTCTGATGAAAGAATGACTGCCTATCATACAAGGCTTCATATTGAGCCATCTGAATGCTTGACTGAAAGTCATAGTCGTAGGAAAATTTTGCTAATGGTACATAAACATCTGAAATCAAGAATGCAAACTCTTAACATGTCATCTAATAAGTATGCTCAGATTGTCGTCTGTCTCCGGATGAAATATGGAACTAAGATCTACTCATGTATTGAAAAGATTTCCAAAAGCGTACAGTAAACAGTCATCCTCTGTCAGAAATGATGGACAGTGGAACCTCATGGAGTCGGAAAATTTAATTAATGTATAATTTCTGCATATTTTCTCCATTGTATCCGGTTTTTACCGTTAAAAGTGTACTGGGTATCTGGTTTCTACAAATTCCCACACAGAGTCATAACCTCTAAGGGTTCGTGGTAGCCTGGTCATAAAATCTGTAGAAAAGATTTCTCATTTCACCTTTGGAAACTCAAACTGTTATAGCAGTCCTATGGGTTGTTGATAGCTTAAACCTGGTGACAAGCCAAATGTAACACCCCGTATTCGAAACAGACGAAAATGCAGATTTTGAGAAGTTGCAGGTGCAACTTACGGTCACCATCCACGGACCGTAGGTCAGACCACGGCCCGTGCTGGTGGTCCGTGGTGCACCACTGCAACCCCTCCCCAAACCAGCTTAGAAAATTGGCTAAGTCCCGACTCACGGACAAACCCACGGTCCGTAGATCAGACCACGGTCCGTGGATCGAGACTTCCCTTACCCAGCCTCTGACACAAACTACGGTTGACCAGCACGGACCGTCATTCGATCCACGGTCCGTAGGTCTGACCGTAGATGAGGGTCAGCAACCAGTTAGCTGAAATTTGTTGATGGGTCAACTTCAGATGGTCATAACTTTTATCACAAAACGAATTATGTGTCGAATGACCTATGGTTAGATAGATAATTGAATTATCTTTCCAATGCCACCTAGTTTGCTAAATTCTGACCTCCGAGTAAAAAGTTATGCCCGTTTTAGTGAAGCCCTGTCGGGCAGACTCGACCTACGGACCCAATCGACGGACTGTCGATTGATTGACGGACCGTCAGTCACTCCGACAACAGCTAATTCAAGGGTCTTTTGGTCTTTTCCTATTTTGTTTAACCCCTAAGATACGTCATTTAGACCCTAAATCACGAGAGTTTAATCAGTTTAAACCTAGAAACATAACTAGAACTTACCTTAGTCAAAATCATTAATCAAACTTAGAAAATTAGAAGCAAGAGAGGAGAAAAAGGTCAAGAACCCTAGTTCAAGAACGCAACGAGGTTTCTTCAGTTCCAACCCCAAAATCGAAAGATTGCCCCGTGGCATTCGTCACCAGGTATGTGGGATTTCACTAGTGGGTTCCTTTCGCCCATTAGATCCCTAGAATTCAGTCAGATTCTTGATTCCATGATTATGAACAGACCTATGGTTTCTAGAATTATAGCAGATCATCATGAATTAGTTATTTAAATGTTCTATGGTTTCTAGAATTATAGCAGATCATCATGAATTAGTTATTTAAATGTTCCAAATCATATTATCATGTTATTGCACTGTTTATCACATGAATTTCAGAACCCTAGCTATGTATTTCTTTAGTTCTTGAATTACACATGCTAGGTCAGATATTTCAGTATTCAGTTTTACATGCCTCAATTTATAAATGCATCATTATCAGATTTTGTTGCATTCTCAGTTTGCATGTTCAGTTTCGAACTATCCAGTATTTACAGAAATTCAGTCATAACAAGTTAACCACTTAATTCATTGGGAGTAGCATAATACCGAGTTGGACTAGGGTTCAGCGTACCCATATAGTCCCAGAACTACGAGCCACGTAGGTGTAAGTCCCCTCTGTGGGCAACATCAGTTTAGTGATCACGCCAGCATGCCTCTATACCTCTGGCAGGGTATATTGGGTCCTCTCGATGTGGCGTATACATCGGACTCCACATTTAGCTCATGTGGTTTTATGTCGGTTATTAGTAGCTCCCACAGTTCAGTCAGACTCTATTGCATTAACCATATTTCAGTACAGTCAGTATTCAGTCTCAGCATGTTATAAATTTGGTCATTGCATCAGTTAGCTCAGTATTCAGTATTTTTAGTATCTATATCATGTTCAGATTATTTCATTGCTTTATTGCTTTGTTCAGTTATATGTTCTTTCAGCTTTACTCTATCATATATGCTCAGTACCTTTCAAGTACTGACGCATACGTGCGCTACATCTTCTCGTGATGTAGGTTCAGGTTCTCAGCATCCAGATCACGCTTAGATCGGTTCCCGATCTCCAGTTCAGCAGCATCAGTGGTGAGTCCTCATTCTTTGAGGACTAGTGATATGTTTATCTTTATTGCTTTTAGTCTTTAGTTTCAGTTTTGCTAGATCTAGTTAGGGCATGTCCAACATTTCTAGTCAGTTTAGAGGCTTATTTCAGACATAGTTAGATTCAACTTAGTATCTTGAGTTTGATATTTATTTTGTATTAAACTCTCAGATTTGATATATTCAGTTATAGTATATGGGTATTCCCCATCTTTTCAGATTTATTTATGAATTAGCTTCCGCATCAGTTTATTTTCTTTAGTATGCTCATGATCATGCCAGCAGGGTTAGCTTGGGATCACTTGTGGTCCTAGGTCCCGTGTCCACGTCTCGGGGGTAGCTCGGGGCGTGACACCAAACAACTATAAACGAATTTAGCAACATCTTCCTTCATAGCCAACAATAAGTCATATCATTGTCTGTAATCACTAGAACGTCGTTACGGTATTCACACATTTTCCCATCCTTATATTAGGTGGCCTTGATGTGTTCTACCATTAGAAACTTGGCCTGAACATAAGCCAACAATGTCTTTGAGTTTCTCACACTAAATTTGATACTGATATCCTCAAGTTTATGCATATCTTAGGCCAAAAGTCTCTTTGCAGGAGCTATATGAGCCAAATAGCCCATGGATTTCCTTAATGCATCTGCCGCATCATTTTCTTTCCTGAATGACACCGAATGGTAAAATTCTACGTAGTCATTGAGTAATTTTATTCATCATTGTAAATTGAAGAAACAAATTTTTCTGCTGGATAACAAATTCAGCCTCTTGTGGTCTGTATAAATCTTGTTGGTTTCATTGTATAAATCTCGTGGGTCTTCGCCATTTTTGAACTGCTGCTGTTTTTTTATTATCCACCGTAATCCCATCCTTAGATACAACATCCCCCAAAAGTTTCATCAAATCTAGTAAAAAATTCGCACCTGACGAACTTGGCCTAAGGCTACTGTTCTTGCAGTGTTTGAAACACAATTTTGAGGTGATCCTCGTGTTCTTACTGCGTACACAAATATACTTGTATTTACATTGATCCCTTTGTACAAAAAGCAATGGTGATATTCAAAACTGCAACAACTATATATAGGGGTATGAAGTTACTAATCCACACTATGAAAGTGTGGGAGATGGTGGTCGAGGTAAAGATGAGGAGGGGTGTGCCTATCTCCGAGAACCAATTTGGATTCGGGTCAGGGTGGTCAACTACAAAAGTCATCCATCTTATAAGGAGATTGTTGGAGTTGTATAGGGATAGGAAGAGGGACCTAAACGTTGTGTTTATTGACCTAGAAAAGGCATGCGATAAAGATCCTAAGGAGGTTCTATGGAGGTGTTTGGAGTCTAGAGGTGTATGTGTGGCTTACATTAGAGTAATTAAGGACATGCACGATGGAGAAAAGAGCCAGGTAAGAACGGTTGGAGGTGACTCAAAACACTTCTCGATCATGATAGGGTTGCACTAGAGATCAACCCTTAGCCCATTTTTATTTGCCTTAGTGATGGACGAATTGACGCAACATATTCAAGTGGATGTGTCTGGTGTGTGTTATTCGCAGATGACATAGTATTGATTGAGAGACCCATGGTGGATTTAATGATAGGTTAGAAGTTTGGAGACAGACCCTAAAATTCAGAAGTTTCAGGTTAAGCCACGCTATAGAGTGGTGGTTAGACCTACATGCGATAGAGTGGTGGTTAGACCTACACAGTTGTATGGGGTGGAGTGCTTACCTGTCAAGAACGCACACGCTTAGATGGATGTGTAGGCATACTAGGAGTGACAGGATTTGGAACGAAGCTATACAAGACAATGTAGGAGTGACCTCCGTGATGGACAAGATGAGGGAAGCAAGGTTGAGATGGTTCAAGCATGTGAAGA